GAATGCGATATCTGGAGCGTGGACGATCCGCACCAGTCACGACGCCCAGCTGGTCCACACTGCGCGTGCGGATCTTGTCCAGGAGGCTGCGTACCCGCAGAAGGTTGCGCTGGGAGAGGGAAACATCACGCATTTCTTCCTCACGCATTTCCCGGCAGGCGCGGTGCCCCGCTGGTGGGAGATACCTGGTTGAGGAAACACCCCGCTAGTAGGTCGGTGCAAGATCTCGCCATCCAGCGGAGGAAGACCACCGTCACGTCACGCAGAAAACATGCACTCCAGTTACGGTACTAATGACCTTAGCCGTTGACGCGCCCGGAATCACTTACAATCAATCAATCAATCAACCCAGACTTGCCAGACGGCCTCCCACGCGAGCGGCCGCCTGAAGCATTTCAATCAGGCGGCCCCCGTCCTGCCCTCGACAGCGGCAGAGCGCGGACCAGGACGTGGAAGACCCAGCCGCCACCGATGTCGAGCTAGACGATGACAGCGACCAGGACCACTTTTGGACGGAGGACTACGCTGAGGTCCAGTGGCTGGAAGCAGCGCCGAACGAGGACCCCCTACCAATCCCAGGGAGTCACGGGGACACACCGAGGCTGCTGTCGCCGTTGCCTCTTCCTCCCCCCTCACAGCAACATCCCACTCATGCCACGCCGTAGTTGCACCGGCCGGAAGAGGAGGGAAACCGTAAGGGGAGGGGGGCGAGCCGAATTCGGCCGGAAACAGTGACCCGGCGGGCCTAGACGCCCTGCAGCGACCGGAGGTGGCTTGTCCTCGGGCGTCGACTCTCGAGAAGAAGTGCCTGTTCAGGGCGAAAAGCCGAGGGCGACTCGTGCGGCGCCTGCGCGGCCCTAACTAGGCGGCGCGCGGCGATCGGAAAAATACGGCAGAGGCTTCTCTGCATTGGCCCTAGAGGGACGGGGGAACATGCCTCATGCGTCCTTCGGTCTGGAGCCAACGTGCCCTGCCGATATGTAAATTCGCACATGCGGCCCGGCTGAACTGCTCTAAAAAGTTAAACTGTAATCCAAACTAGTGATAAAAAACAACCGTACTTTCTCGCCCATACTCTCACGCTAAATAACGCTTTCGCGTACTCATATTTTCGATAAATTGTTCATGATCTTATTTCAAAATCCATCTTTACGTAATACGTTTTATTAAGTGGAAAAAAGTATATTTAATATTGTAGTTGTAGGAAACTCCGGAAAAGTTAGAACTTTTGTAATTTTCGAAAACTCAGAATTTTCAACGAATATGAGACCTGCACCATTCTCTTAAACGTCATTCGTACTATCCCAAAACAAAATTTCATAAAAATTAATAGAGCCATTTTTTTTTGAAAATTTTTACAATGTTTCATAGGTTTCATGTAAAGTACTCTCCAAAATTAAAATATCGATTTAAAATTCAAGAGACCGCGTCATCATTTAGATCGATTGGGAAATATCAATTTTTAATAAAATCGACTGAACGATTCAGCCTCTAGCGTTGTTCACAGGCGGACAGATGTTTTGCCATCATTTGATTTTTCGGTATGAAGGACCCACAAAACATGGATTCTGGTGACCACCACTACGTAATAGAGACATTTTTTTATAAATTTAGCAACTGGATTTGTGTAGTTTTTCGTACACCAGGGTCCTGTAATAAGAGTTTTTCTGTCAAAAATTCGCCGCTTTTTTTTGTAGCATTACATTATTTTCTCTCTACTGCGTAAGAGGTAGTGGCGAGTAGCGCACGTTGTCTCTTGAAACTCCCATTCCGCTGGGTGGCAGATACGTCACAAGCAATGCTCGGACACGTGCTCAAAGCCGCTGTCGCGGACTGATGGAGCGTCGTCTTAACGACCAGGTCGACCCGCAGGGGAACAGACCTGACTTGGTGGATGCGATCACACCGCGATCGTGCCTTGAGCGATCACGGTGGTCTACAAAGGCCGTGTGCACGAGAGGCACGAGGAAAACGCTAGACAATATGAGTACGCGTGACGCTCCTGGCCCAGACCTACCGGGTGGTGGAGTTTCAACCTGGGACTGTTGGAGCCTTCGGCAAGTGGTGTGGAGACTCCGCCGCCACTTTAAGGAAATTCGTTTCCGGCGAGAATCTTAAAAAGAAATACGTGAACCAATGTCGGCGAGGCCATTTTGGGGAGCGCCACCTGTTAATAAGACCAAACAGACCTGTTTGCCATTTGAATACCGGGCACACACCTCCACACGGCCCAGTGCGAGGTTGCAGGCCCCTTCCCCCCGCTCCGGCGCCGAAAACAGCGACCACAGTTGCACCACCCTCAGTGCCTACACGTGGTGTGATACATGGTAATTATTCGTACAAAGACGATTGCATGCCCCCTCCCACATACACATAAGAGCATTGGCATATTAAGCTGGTAGACTATAAAGACCACGCAAATAGTTTGTAAGAGTAAGAGTAGCGATGAAGAATGGGTAGACAATTGTAAATAACACTATAAATAGAATAGTTTCTCGAGAGCCAAGTGTAATAGTATGTTAGAATTAAGTGTAGAGGTAGAAATAGTTGTAGGTTTACGATTATTACGTATATTAAACACCATAATATACCTGTGCCCAATATAAAATAATAAATTATATAAACACGTACTAGTACGAAATAGTAAAAATACATGCTAGTTTGGATTAGGAAAAGATAGGGCGGGAGTGAAATATACATTCCTTTTCTACTCTATAATTTTGTATTGCAAATAATCAGACGACTACCATTAATAAATCCGAGCAACGCAGTGTATTTCAGCTAGTTCGACATTAAAAATTATACACGAGACGGAAGATTCATGAAATATATTCATAATGTTCGTGTACACAATTATAATGTATCATTTACAACAAAGGAAAAAACACGCTTTTGCCATAAAATCCAAGGTTCACTAATAAATTAGAACATACTTTTCGAAGTCCACGCGCAAGGAAACAATTTCCTCAATGTGTCCGCCAATGGCGGCTACGGCAGGAAGGTTCAAGTGGCTGTGCCCTCCCAAATAACACACATCCATCTTTCTTTTCTTTTTGAATAGCATTTGATGTTAACGTAGTTCTTCGCCACGTTATTCTTTAATTTCAGAATTCAAAAAGCCCGGCATTTCTTGTTTCGGGTTTCCCTTCATTGGTTAGGCGCGTTCGAGAACATTGTCATATTACAAGATGGCCCAATATGGCGTTGCCGTAAACTCAATGCTTTGGAGCTGTAAAAATTGCTACATGGGACGTGCAAATGGCGGCTGTTGGCGGGTGCAGCTCGGGATCGATGACAGTTGGGAAATGTTTCCTTGTAGGATGTCCAGAGTTACTACTGACGAGTTTTCGTCTCCTCCGTTCAGCTACAGGATGCAGTAGTGCACAAAACCTATTCCATTATTAGAAGTAAGTTTTAAAATCTCTAAAGGTATTTCTAGTCTTACAATCTCTTAAACTTATTTATAAAGTCTTAAAATTAGTTATAAATGTATATCGAGAAACCAATAATTTTTTGACATTTTTAAAATTTCAATCAGACAATGCAAGACATTAATAATGACATTTTATCATGTGTCATAATATTGTCCCACATATACCATAACGACATATATTTATATTACATTGGTTTCTCGAATATTAAATTTATCCACAATCACCAGTTCCCTTTCTACAGCCGGCTTTGGTTTTGTCGAGTAGGCATCCATATACTCGTCGCAGGAGGCTCATGGTCAGGAGGGGAGGGAGGGGGGAGGCACGCGAGGACCGGAAGGGCCGCGCGCGGCGGCGGAGCGCGCTTCCTGTCCCCACACCCCACACCCGGCCCTGGCCAAGAACCAAAAGCTACGAGGCCGCGACTCCTGCTTCAAGACTCGACACGCGCTGCTGAGCAAACTCCTAGTCGCCATTAAGACGACACGATACAAAACACCCTGATTGATTGATTAATGGATGGATTAATGGATTGATGTCGCCGGATGCGTCAACTGCAAAGGTCTTTAGTCCCGTAAGTGTAATGCAAGTTTTATCGCGTGAGGTGATCTCCCCCCAGTGGATGGCAAGATCCGACCTGAGTGCAGCATGTGAGAGTACGTATGTGTAATTAAGGATGAAGAAAGGACAAGAAAGAGGAAGGATAGATCGCGCGTGGTCCGTGGTCCGTTAGTTAAGATTTTGCACCGCCTTTCGCTGAGTGTTGATCGGAGAAACCACGGAATATTACTGATCGCAAGAACCGGCCGCTAGAATGCTTCTCCAGACAGCGGGTGAATTCGACCCAGCTTAGTACGACGAAAATCTTGTCACCGTCGGGATTCGAACCCTAGGGCCCAGCAGTGAAATCAATTGACGCCATGAGCCACTTATGCCGATCAAAATACACTGTTATTGAAATGCGCAGTTCATCAGATAAAACCCCACAACATCAATTAACACAAAATGTGTTCCTAGTGGCACCGGCTGAGGGCAACAGAGGCAACAGTCGCCGCTAGGACATTGTTAGGACGACCTCAGACGCTATTCGGAGAAGAATTCAAGCGGCCGGCTGCTCCGACGGCTAGTTTTCCGTTGTTTCTCAGATTAATACTAGACAAATGCCGGAGCAGAGCGCTAACAAACGGGCTCCCCTTACACGTACTACCATGCACTACATTACTATAAAAACCGGGAGACCAGTTGCGGTTTCCGACCCGGCTGGAACGCTGCTCCGCTGGGGCGGGAGGAGGAGGAAATCCACGCCAGCCGGCGTGTAGGTCAGCGCTGGATCTTTCGTTCCAGCGACGGAGACACATTGGGATCGTCTCTTGGGACCGACCACGCGCACTATACCTACGGACTGATGACCATAGTAGCTGAGGCACCCGGAAACAAAATATCAATCAACGAATCATGACTTCAGTTTACAATCACAAGTTAATTGAAACGCAGAGTTTCAATTAAACTCGCAATCATCAGTTATCCGAAATCTTCCTCGAGTCTACTGTCTATCTCTATGCTACTTACAGATTACTTCACCACCGCCGTCCGTCCTTCGCATGAAGAATTGTAGGTCCAAAGAACAGGGACTCACCTGCAAAAGAAAACAAAACACTTGAGCACATTTCCTCTGCCAGTAGTATGAGTAATAACTAACAATTAACCACTGTCTTTTCATACCATAAGAGATATACGCTTTTTGTATTTTGGAACATCCGATGATTTTTTTTCTTCGCGTGTAGACAAAATGTCTGTCTGTCTTTCTGTCTCGGTCTGTGCACTACGCTAGCGCCTAAACTTTAAGACGACACTCTCTAAATTCCAACTGATCGGGACAAACTGAAAGTACTGTCAGTTTGAAGCTGATATTTGGATTTGGATTCTTTACATGAAAACCTAAGTAAAATTTCAAAATTTTCTACAAAATTGCTCGAATTCTTTTATTAAACTGTCAACGGATAATGATTTTTTAAAATGAAAAAGTCTAAAAAATTAGATCTAAATAAAATCATACTTTTTTAAAAACATGACTGATTTACGCGTAATTTCTGCTTGAAATTCATGTAATTTGAAAAAAATTTAAAGGCGCACATTTTTTCTTTCCATTTTTCTCGAATTAAAAAAAAGAATGCTTAACAAATGGCGCAGGTATAATTTTCTTTCAACTTCCTGAATTTTCAAAAATTGTTAGAAATAATACGAAATAGTACGCGTTGTTTACCACAACTAGTTTTGTATTTCCTGGCCTTTATCCCAGCTTTGTACTTCTATTTCCATCTTGTTTGTTTTGCTGTCCACGTAAATCCGTGAGTAAACTTTCCGCTTCAACAAAAGCTCAATTGTTCTCCTACCATCTGTATCTTTCTTTATTCTTTCCAATCCCAATTTTATTGCTCTATATCACTTCAACTGGCATAAATATTATGGTCACGTCGTTGTTTTTGTTGTTGTTTTGCATAAATGAAAATCGGTGCAAGGTATATTACACGAGACCCGGAGAGAGACACCAAGACCTTAAGCTACGCTGTGTCAAGGCATGCCACTGGAAATCTGTTTTGGCCGGCCCAGTGGCTAATGAATCAGCGCTAATAATAAGCGTGCCAATTGAATCGCGTGCGTGCTCACACGTGCGTTAAGACAGGCGCACGCGTCCGGCACACTTGGGCGTGCGCGCCAGCACGCGTGTGCATGGGCTCCAACGCCGGCGACCCCGGTGGCCGACGAACGATTTCACCCGAGGCGCGATTCCTCTGAGTGCAGCGGTGACAGGCAACAAGTGTGGTTCAGCGTTTTTCCTGCATGGGCTATCACTGCACACAATACTCTTGTTCTAGCAGGGGGTACAAGCCACCTGGCGCTTTGCGCACCCCCCGCTGGCGCACAAGTACGCTGACATGCTGGTATTCGGATCCCGTCGGAACGTAGTTCCCCCTCAAGGTAGCCTCCCCAAACTGGGTTGGATTGTTGTTGGAAAATTGTCTTTAATTATCGCAAAATTGTGCGAAAAGAAACAACTTTAAAAAAATGCGCATGGCCTCAATTAAATATCTAATTTTGAGGAATATATTTCAGTAGGGAAATTACTTATATCTTCAATATTGACGTTGTAGGAATACGTCAAATGAATTGCGATTTTTGAATTCACGGAATTTTAGAGAATTCGATCAAAATCAAACCTGACCGATTTTATAGGCTCCAAAAAGCCACTTTTGACCAAATATTTTGAAAATTTCATTGAGGATTCATGTTAATCACCACCAAAAATAAAATAGCCGCTTCAAATATAAGAGATCAAAGTATAAGGATCATAGTATTAAGTCTTCTATCGAAAAAATGCAGTTTTTCTAGCATCATTGCAATATTTTTTTGTTTCCTATAAAAATAGTATGCGGGAAAGTAAAAATATTCTTGTGCATTGTGATTCTTTGGTTCTTGAGTTTGAGACAATTTTATGTCACATGCGCTGTTTGCTTGTCGCTCGTGTCTGAGGATCAGGAATTGAGAGAATTTGAACTTGAGGTATCAGCTAACTTGTCAATGAACTTTATTCTCAATGCAGCAAAGAGGAAACTTGATACCAAAAAAGGGTAGAAAATAAATACAGTTGAGATTGTTGAAGTGTAGAAATCTGGACAAAGACGCTCATTGGCTGTTCTTCAGAAGGAACCCGAACACGCGAGGTTAGGTTGTGTTACGACTTCCCCAAGGTTTGGCACACGCGTTGAGTATGATGACTGAGAAATATTTTTTTATCTACTGCCGAGGGGATTACCGCGTCCTACACTCGTCGCAGGTTTCCTAGATCGAAGGGAAAATAAGTAGTCAAATCATCGCTCGACTCTAAAATATGGGTAAGGGAACAAGATAGGGAAGGAAGGATCGGAACTGGTCGGTGGTAGTGATGCGACATCGATAACAAAACATTGATGTTCAAAAACGTTGATGTTCAAAAACATTAAAGTTCAAAATTAAAATATTGATGTTAAAAATACTTTGAGGAAAAACCATCGATGTTTTTAGACTCGATTAGTATCCTCTAACATTATATTCATGTGGAATAAAATTTAATTTGACAGTGTTCGTATTTATCAATTCGCCGAATAATATATAACAGGGTACAATATGGAGGGCCGACCCAATGCCCACAGCGTACTTGTTGGCCACATCTCAATGTGCAAAATGAATATGAAGAAGAAATACAATGGCATAGATGTCATCTCAGGCTACAGAGTTTGGTCGTTGTAGGAAGTGCAACCGGCATTCCTTTGGTTCCAACACATGAATAACAGTGTTACTTCAGTTATTAACGTTTACAGTACTGTGATCATGGGAATTCTTCATTCGAAAACAAAACATCGAAAAAAAACAACATCGATCACAAAGCGTCGATGACATCAATGTTTCTATAAAAACATAGATGTTTTGAAAACATCGACATCGATTTTGCATCGCTAGTCAGTGGCCGTTTATAATGCCGCTTCCCTGGTATTCGTCTGGAAGCGATCAGGGAAATCACGGAAAAGTGCAGATCAAAATAGCTGGCCTGTGACGTCAATGTATACACGCGCCACAAGCTCGTCGAAGTTAAACATATCAAGCAAATCACTGGCTTGGAGGGAGATTGCACTCGCAACGTAGCAATCACAAGTACTGTCGAGTCGTAAGGTGCTGTGGAAGCCACAACATTTCCGCATTACGTTTCGGGATCATCTTATTCTTTGATATATCTATCTATCTATCTATCTATCTATCTATCTATCTATCTATCTATCTATCTATCTATCTATCTATATAGTGGCGCTTTAGAGTCACAGGGAGAAAGAGAGGGGGGCATTGTCATCTAACCGATAGCTATAATACCAAAAATGTAAATCGTAACGAAGCTCCCGATTGGATGACAGTGTCCGCCTCTTCGTCTAGCTCGTGGCTTTTGAGGGGCCTCAAAGTCTAAATAGGAGTATAGAGAAAATGCCCAAAGCAATAGTCTGCCAAAGGAGCGTGGGCCCAGAGCCCTTCGTCCTACTGCGTCACGGCACCATCAATTCTCCACGTGGTAGCGAATGCAAATTCGCAGCTCCAGTCCCGGGCGCCAACTGTTTGTGTGCGGCCCACGGCCAAGAATGCCAGGGTGCGACGTGAATGCAGAATGTGCCCTACCTAACCCCGGCTGAGTCTCGTACGGCTTCCGAACTGTTATTTGCATAGACGCGATGAAGTAACATTGGAGGTAGGTAGACTCGTCGAGCTGTGTGTGGAACATACGGAGCACTGAATAACTGTTGAAATGCAGTGGCTTCTCCTGCGTATCTAACACATCACCAGCGATTCTCAACCTCTTTCTTTCTTTCTTTCTTTCTTTCTTTCTTTCATTCTACCTTTCTTTCTTACACACGCATACACTAACATGCACTGCACATCCACACATGTCGGGAGCTCAGAACCTGCAGCGGCTGGGGCAGTGCCCCGCAGGTGGGAGGTATCTGGTTGCAGAAACCCCCACTAACCGAAGTATAGGTCAGCGCCAGATCTCGTTATCCAGCGGGGGAAGATCACAGCACTCTCTGGCTCTATAAAACACGCAACCCACTTATGGGACTATTACCCTTCGCATTTGACGCGCCCGGAATCACTAATAAAATGCAGTTTATGGTCCGTTTGTTAGGTTACAGGCTCCATTTTCTCATATGCTACAGCGGAAACCGAATAAATTAATAATCTATATCTTTACCTCCATCTTTTTCCCTTGTTGTTCGAGGCACCGCCCGCGCTCGCAATGGCGACAGATATCTCGCGACCACGAGAAGTCGTGCGTGGCGAGGCCTTGGCCGCCCCTCCCCTTCCCCCTCCCCCTCCCGCTCAGCCACGACCGCCGCGCCCCCAGCAACGCTTGGCGGAGACCGTCCAATGCACCTCTCGGAGAGGCTCAGTCAGGCTGGGCTTCCGATGCTGATTCAAATGCACCTTTCACCGGCTCAGGTGGCTGAGAGCCTGCATTGCCTCTTTCTGTGACCGGGAGGTCCTGTAGGGTTGGTTGCTTGGTTGGTTGTTGGTGATTTCGATCATTAGTCATGTGCATTGCATGCTTTTCCTCGGAAGGCGGCGGTGATATTCTCCCTGGCTGGCGAGGTCCGACGCCGACCTACCTTCAGCTAGTGGAGATTTCCCCAACCAGGTACCTCCCACCAGCGGGGCACCGCCCCAGCCGGGACAAGCTCTAAGCTCCGGGAGATCCTTGTGTTCGAGTCCCCACGGTAGGGGATTTTCCACACTTGCTACGTAGCTACAGGCAGGTCGCATTCAGCTGTTGTCTGGAAGAGAATTCCAGAGAGCCATCTGATCTAATCGGGAGTTTTCTGTGGTTTCTCTGACAAACACAAGGCGGAGCAGAACCCTAACAAACGGACGAAGGCCTGCACACGATTGATTGGACCGGATTGTGATTCCGGACCCTTTAACTGCCAAGGTCCCGAAAGTACAGTGTATTTCATCGCGAGAGGTGACGGTGATCATCCTCCGCTGGCTAACGAGATACGGCGCGATCTATGTCTCCTTTCAGGAATGTTCCTCCCACCAGGTATCTCCCACCAGGTATCT